AGGCATTTGTGGATTCAATGTGAAAATTGTTATGGTATTTTGAAGTCGAAACTATGTGTTTAGATCAAAATGAATTGTTGGTACTTAAATGTTTTGAGAAAAAGGGAAATGAAATTTCAGTGTAATCAGGATTTCTTATTAAATTTTAGAGTGATTTGGGCAATTTTTTTTTCGCTAATTGTGAGGAATGTTAACTAGTTTTTGAAATTATTGGGGTGGATTTTGCAATTTTTACTCCAACGCTAATATTTTTTTTTTTGCTCCAAATTTCCTTTGTTTGAACTCACTGATGAAGAAAGGAATTTTCTTAAATGGTTTTAAATCGTGTTTAATCTTGCAATTTTTCTTTGACGTTTGAAATTTAGGTGTTAGGCTTTGGTTGGGCTGGTCTTTTCAGGAAATATCTGGTTGAGCCAGGGGAAATGTGGTGGCCAACTAATTTGGTTCAGGTCTCTCTGTTCAGGTATTATTGTTATTGTGAATTTCATTCATATTCAGCACAATAGGTGTTTTTTAAGTTCATGCGTAATCTATAACATTAATGGAAATGTTGCAGTGCTTTACATGAGAAAGAAAAAAGACCAAAAGGGGGAATGTCTCGCAATAAATTCTTTGTTCTTGTCTTGGCGAGCGGTTTTGCTTACTATGTCTTGCCTGGCTATTTGTTTACTATGTTGACATCAATATCATGGGTATGTTGGTTGGATCCCAAGTCTGTTCTAGTCCAACAATTGGGTTCAGGGATGAAAGGACTTGGAATTGGTTCCATTGGACTTGACTGGTCTACAATTTCTGCATATCTTGCGAGTCCTCTCGCTAGCCCCTGGTTTGCCACTGCCAATGTTGCTGTTGGTTACTGCCTTTTTATGTACGTGTTGATACCAATTGGCTATTGGTTCAATTTCTACAAAGCCAAGAACTTCCCCATATATTCTCAAGATCTTTTCATGGCAAACGGTGAAAAATATGATATTTTGAGCATTGTCGACTCGCACTTTCATCTTGATAGGGATGCTTATGCGAAGAATGGTTCTATACATCTTTGCTTCTTATTTGCTGTGACTTATGGTATCGGATTTGCCACACTATCTGCTACACTTGTCCATGTGATACTCTTTAATGGAAGGTAGGAAAGCACAAAATTTTGTTCATGGTTAAGTCTGTTATGGTTTTATTTTTTTTCTGATTTGTGGATACTTTATGCAGTGACCTATGGAGGCAAACCAGAAGTGCGTTTAGCGATGATAAGAAAATAGATATACACACAAAACTGATGAAGGTATATGATGCAGTGCCGATGTGGTGGTTTTGGGTTATCCTTGTGGTGAACATTGCTGCAATAATCTTTGCTTGCCAGTACTACAACGAGTCACTTCAGTTGCCTTGGTGGGGTGTGTTGCTAGCTTGTGGTATTGCTGTTACCTTCACTCTTCCAATTGGTATCATCTACGCCACCACAAACCAGGTAAAGAAATGGTGCAATGGATATGAATACATATCTTTCCTGCCAATTATTTTTAAGTTTCTTTTACAATTTGTGCCGTGAGAGTGTCTCTGATACTTATGCTCTCTCGCTGGTGAACAGCAACCAGGTTTGAACATAATTACAGAATATGTGATCGGGTATATCTACCCAGAGCGCCCTGTTGCTAACATGTGCTTCAAGGTATATGGATATATTAGCATGACTCAAGCTCTATCCTTTCTTGCTGACTTCAAGCTTGGCCATTACATGAAAATTCCTCCAAGAGCAATGTTCATGGCTCAGGTCAATTTAATCCTGTCTCAAATTTATGTCAAATAGCTGAGCACATAACTTGCATACATAATCAAAATCTAAATAAGATGGCATTACAGGTAGTAGGAACAGTGTTAGCAGTACTGGTATACACTGTAACTGCTTGGTGGTTAATGGCCGACATTCCAAATCTTTGTGATACCAATTTGCTTCCCAGTGACAGCCCTTGGACATGCCCTATGGATCGTGTATTCTTTGATGCCTCGGTCATATGGGGGCTTGTTGGCCCTCGAAGAATTTTCGGAGATCTTGGAGAATATGGGAAGGTGAATTGGTTCTTTCTTGGTGGAGCCATAGCACCTCTTCTAGTGTGGCTTGCCCACAAATTAATCCCTGGGCAGAAATGGATAAAGCACATCCACATGCCTGTCCTTTTGGGTTCCACAGCAATGATGCCTCCAGCTTCTGCAGTAAACTTCAACAGTTGGATCTTCCTTGGATTTATCTCTGGTTTCATAGTTTTTAGGTTTAGACCGGAATTGTGGAAGCGATACAATTACATTCTCTCCGGTGGCCTTGATGCCGGGACTTCGTTTATGACAGTGCTGTTGTTTCTTGCCCTGGGATCCAAGAATATTGGCCTTGAATGGTGGGGAAATAAAGGAGAAGGTTGTCCCTTAGCTTCTTGTCCAACTGCAAGAGGGGTTAAGGTTGATGGCTGCCCAGTTGTAAATTGACTTAATTTCCACTGTGTTCAGAACTATTATCAGTCCCTTTGTAAATTGTTTTCTTTTTATGAGATTATTTTGATATTTCAGATGATAGATTGTTTCTTGTTCAAATTTATATTGAGAACCACCTTCATTAATTGAGTTAGCTTTTCGCAATCTTGCTCACAGCCAGAATGTGAAAGCAAATAAGTGGATCTAAGTAAGCAAACATATAAATAAAGGTTTGCGATAACAACATTTTACACATTTGGGTCTCGGCGGGGACTCCGGTTTTGAACTCGGGCTTGCAAAGTAAGTGCAAGGGATTTCTGGGTTATTCAAAAGAGAAAAAAAAAAAGAACATTATATTTTTGGATGATTATGCACTCTGTTACCAGAAGCAACAGAAAATCTGTACAATGTATAAGCTTATCTCTAACAAAGCAGTTCAATTTTTGTAATAAAGAGACCTGATTTTTCATTGGGAACAAGAAACTGAGCTCAGCTTTGTGATTACTGAGTAAAGAGTCTAATTTTCTCATAAGAAAAGATTGAAACAATTGGAAATATCTTCACCTTATAAGAGAAATGAATTAGATTGAACATGATTGTGCCTTATCCAAAAAATGACGACTGTTCTTCGAGCAAATTCAACCGAACAAGTACTTTAGCAGCCAGGGATTTCATACTACTATTTCCCCTCTGAGTAATATCGACTAACAGTACCTGGGCAGATTTTCCATATTTTTGCTTCAACTCAACCAGTTGAAACAGTCTTTCTAGAGCCTTCAAAATCTTCTCCTGCAAACTGGCAGACGGTGAACATAATAATTTGATGATTGGAGCAATGGCATTTGCTTCATCTAGCACCTTACTACTGCTTTGCAGTCTTTCACCATCGATCAATGTCAAGAGTGCATCTAACGAAGCTTCACTAACACCAAGATTGGTCTCTCCAAGCATCCTCACTAGCGGTGGCAAAGCATTAGCTTCTACAATGCAGAAGGAAGACTCTACTGTGCAGATTCCCAAGTGGACAGGGCAGCCGGTGAGAGGTGCAGCCATGCAGCAAAAGAAAAGTCCACGCTTCCTCACTGGCTGGCTCAAAGCAGTTGAACTTTCGGAAAACTGTTTAAGTGAAATGGCTGCATTTTGTTTTGTCAAAGATGTTCCAGAAACTAGCAACTGTACAAGTACTGGTATAATGCCTACTTCAGCTGCTCTTTTCTGCCATTCCAGATTTGTTGAGATGGTGAAACAACAAAGAGCTCCAGTGGCATTCTCTACAACTGGCCTTTTGTATGATGCATTTCTATTTCCATCATTGAGACAAGTAAAGATAACTTCAAGAGCCCCGGCATCTAGAAGCCATTGAGTCATTTGTGTGTTCTTAGGTAGATTGCAGATAATACCCATTGCAGCTGCAATTTCTTCAACATCACAAGAAGTTTTGATGATCCCGAGCAAAGTCTCAATGCATCTCTGACCAACGTGCTCTAAGAAGGTTCTGCCATCTCCGTCTTCTGTCAAGCAACAGAACAGCTTCACAGCATTTGCACGTATGGTATGGTTATTCACTTCACATAACTGAACCAACACTTGAGCAGCCGAGAGCTGGCAATTATATAAAAATTAGAAATATGTAAAAAAAAAAAATTTTCATGCAGTATATGTTTCTAGTAGATCTTGTAATTTGTAAGACTAATAAGGAACAGAACTTATGAATTTCAACAAGAAAACCTCAAAAAAACTGAAAAGAAAACAAAGTGACGATTTCCATCAGGAAATTTCCTGTTGCAATGAATTTTTGGTTCTCGATAAGATCCTTGCAAGTGCCAATTAATTTATTGGTCTGTCAAGTCCACCAGTTTCTTTGAGATTATAAGTAGCAAACATCTAATTGTTTCAAGTCATTTTATTTTGTGAAGAATCCAACTAGATTAGTTTAATTTTGTTACAAATAGACACCATTGATTTGTGTTTCAACTTACAAGAACAATACGCTCAATATTTTTAGAAATAGTAGGAGAGCTATGCATACCTGTCTCAACTTTGCTCTGATATCTGGACCTGAAGGAGATTGGCACAAGGCCTGAAAAGTTCGGAGAATGCTTTTCTGAATGTCAGGTCCTGTCAAGGAAATAAGAGAGAACAGTTTGAAGATATCTTCTTCAGATTCCAGCATCGAGATTTGCAGATCATTGGCTTCTTGAGAACAGGTTGCAGTAGCAAGATGCATTATTATGGCTGCTACCCCTTCACGAAAACTTGACGATGATAAGCCATGACGATAAAGAAGTTCAAACAGCGGTTTTAGAGCACCTTCTTTGATCATCTGCAGGCCATTTTGTGGTATGTGAGACAGGTTCTTAAGGGCTTTAACAGCAACTATTTTCATCTCCAAGTCACTATGAGAGAGCATTTGAAGAAGTGGCCCGAGCGCACCTTCTCTAAACAAGGCCAATTTGTTGTGATCAGTAAGCTCAATTTCTGACAAAGTCTCAGCCATGATCAACCTTACATGTTCTGGTCCTACATCAGCAACATAAATCCAATTTAAACTCAAATCTGAATACAAAACTTAAAATTTGAATAAATCAAAAACATTTTGAAGGCAAATACCTGACTCTAGTAGTCTTATTTATTCCATAGAGAAAAAGCCCAGTGCAAAGATGCATACCTGAAGAAAGAAGCTGTAATAAAGGTTTAAAATAATTTGCTTTTGCCATCTGGATGGCATTCTGATCAAGGTAAGACAGATTCTCCAAAAGCTCTTTAGCATCGCCAGAAGCATCAGGATCATCGCTATTTAACATGGCAACTAAGAGAAACATACATCCTTGGACATTTCCGATTACATCTTGGACTTTACTGATGCTTGACAGTTGCAGTAACAACCGCAATGCTGACTTACTTTCCCCAATTTGATGTGCAAGTGAGCAAACAATCGATTCTAGTGCGTGGTCTACTTCAGCAATTCTTTCCTGTCAAGCAGTATATCAGATTCAATGAAAAACATATAGCCAATGAAGCGTGCTTTTTTTTTTTTTTTTTCAACTGATAAAAAATGTTACCCTCATTATCAACCAGTCAAGCAAGGAGGCCAGGTTTGTCCACTGGCAAGAATAATGTACGAAAAGGTGTAATCCCGGAAGGAAACAATTTAAAGAAAAATTAAGAATCAAGTATACGTATCTTATCAACATTAGCCTGGAATGGTGTACAGATTACAGTTAATATGTTTTGCCCTTATCAATTGGAAAAAAAAAAAAAAAAAAAAAAATGGATTTGTAAGGTACCTTATTCTCATCACCATCCCTTGCAAGGATGCATAGGATGTCCAGAGAAAGTGTTCTTAATTCACGATTTTTGGCACCAAGAAGTGTAACAAGAATTGGTATATAGTTTTCCATTGTCACCCAGTCACGATGCGACTCTCGCTCGATGCATAAATCCTGCAGTTTGCCAAGTGACTGAAGCACTTCACGCTCATCATTTGACTGGAGTTTGGGTTTGATGGAAACAATGGTACTCATTTTGTTCCTACTCTTCCATTGTTGAATTGATTGCCGAAGAGTTTTGTTAGGCCGAAAATCCAAATTCTCCAAGGGAGTGTAAGTTGAAGGACAGATTTTGTTACCCTCTGCAACCCACTTCTCAATGGCACTTCTCTCGAAAGTTCGACCTGTGGAACTTTCCACAGGATCAGTCATTACATCCCGAGTGATGGGGCAGTAAAATGACTGAAGAGGCTCCAGAGGTTGCCTGCCCAAATGATTCCGCTCATTGAAATACTTCTTCTGCTTTTCCTCATGAGATGTAGTGGCATCAGCCTTTTCAAGCAAAGCAATAATTTGTTCAATCTTAATGGTTTCCGCCGTGTCTATTCTCAGCCTGGCATCTTCTATTTCACTTTTGAACTCTTCAAATTCCTTCTTTAAGGCTGACTGCTCTGTTGAGATACCAACAACCTCACATACATGAGCCAGCAACTCATTGGCATAAGATCGATCAACATCACTCTCCTGTATTCCTGACTCGATTTTTTCATAAATTTCTTCCTCTACTAAAGCTACACAGTACTCGGTATCCATCATATTCTTACATAACCTGCTGATCTTATTACTTAAACCCAGAGAAACATCTAATGAATCCAAAGGCATGAGACTTAAAGCTTGACTAATCTCTTTTGTGCTGCCATCTATGTGCTTCGTGATTTTCCGGCAGTTAATCAGAAGATAAATCTTGTTTTTTTCTCTGCAGTCTAGAGTCAGCTGCCTAGCATTTTTAATCTCTTGGTTCAGCAACCCTAGAGCATTTCTTAAGCTCTCAGAAGAGTCAGAATTATCTATGTCTAACTTTGACAACTCCTTCAATGTAGACACGATCATCCCCAAGTAATTCGAGAATTTGTTGAAATTCTCTTTCTGAATGGGGACTTCTTTCGCCGCATTAACAGTTTCAAGTATTGCAAGTACAGTCTGAGAAAGTAACTCAGACATGGGTGCAAGTGATGCACTTATAATCATGTCCTTCGCCATTTCAGTACAGGAACAAAAATCTATAAACAAAATAAAGAATCTCAACTTCAATTGAATTTAAACAGTAATTCAGACCACAGGCTAACAATTAGCCTAACGGCATATCTTTTGAATGACAAAGCAAATTGTAAAAATAGCAAATACCCAATTAAATTTCATAATAAAACACCTGCACTTCGTGTAATTTGGGGAAAATTAACTTGACATAGACAATAAGGAAACTATAAATTACAAAACCTCCAGAAAGTTGTGGCTAATGAAATGATCACACTCTAAAAACATACTCACCTTTCTTTTCTTTTCTTATGTTTTCTGACCAACCAAACAGAGTGATATTCTACAGCAAATTCATCAAATTTGTAACATTTCAAGAACCCTTTTTTATGTCATGCTAATAAATTCAACCCAAAAACCAGAAGCAGAATCAAAAACCAAAAATTGACTCTTGTTCATTGATACACAACATAAATCATATGTATGTAAAGTGAAAATATAGAGAAAGAAAGAATGAATAAAACCTGCATGCTAGTCAACGGGGCTCTCACTTTCTGCCCATTTCCAAGAAAATGAGCATATATTTTCCAGGAAAATCAAGTGCCTTCAACACTATCTTTCTGCCAAACAAAAATCTTGTACTTACAAGCCTGCAGATTATAACGACAAATATTTACAAAAGTAATGTTTTGTCGTAATGATTAAGAAATCCGACCATACATTAACTGAATTGTAATAATTCCAAGTTAATGTGTGGTCGTGGCTTAGTTTTGGCAATAGTCTTCTCTGGTTTGGTTGAGTTGAATTGAATATTAAAGCGGGCAAGACTGAAAAAAGTCTACAAGTCAATGCCGTTTAGTTTTCCATTCCTTTTCATCGTAGCTGTAGACCGTGGTGGTAGTATGGTCAAACTCGTGCTTCTTCTCTTGCGTAAACTAATCTTGGATACGGTATTGTTAATTATTCCATGCACAATAATAAAAATTCTTTTGAGGTTTTGAAAATAATAGAAATTTTTTTACTATTAAATTTTAGGTGTTAACATAATTAATATAAAAATAATTTGATAATATTTACTAACTCATAATAATATAAAGTTCAATAGTTCATCAACTATACATTAATAACAAAGCGATTTCTGTTATTTTATGTTTAGTTTAACTCTTATTATTAACGTTGTTTAGGTGGTTTAAAAAAAAATATCATTAACACCTGCTATTTATCAAGATTGATGGCTAATGAATAGGGGAAAGCTCTTTATGACAATCTACATCATACCCCTTGTGGGCATGCTTTTAGTCATCCATATGAAATACCTTTGTTGCATCTCTGACTGAAAAACCCTCCCCTCAATATAAGGCTCTTTGTGATTCAAAATTATAATCCCAAACTCTAATAGCACTTATTGGGTAACGTTTTGTCATCTTAATTGGAAGGGATATTTATCAATCAGGGTATAAATTTTTCATATTTTTTGTAATGAAGAGACAAATGTTACAAATTATTCAATAAATGTATGTCTAATGATTATTTGTTGTTAACTTTAACATAAAATGACAGCATAACTTAAACGTCATTAATTAAAAAAAAAAAAAAATTAGTTCTTAAAATATAAGTTTAAAAAATTGTAAAAAATAAAAAAAGACCAAAACCTTTTTATTTTATTTTAAGGAAATAAAAAAAAAAAATTCTCAAAACTAAAATAAAATAAGCCCTTTTATAATTTTTGTCATTTATTTTTGAAAAGAATAATTTAAATTATTCAATTACGTCTTTAGCCTTATATAAAGTTAAATCTAATTCTAATAAAGTATTTATTATGCCTTAATTGAACTATGTGTAACTTTTGTCATTCCATTTAAAAATCTGAAAAGTTTATATCCTAATTACTAATCATTGTAACCATAAACACGTTTTAAGCGCTACCATATAACTGAAATGGTCTTATTGCAAGATGCTAATAGCAATGTTGTGGTATTATAATTTGTAACAACCTTGCGTTTTTAAAAATTAAACCAAACTTGCAGTTAATTATGATATATGCACCTAAATAATGTTGTTCTCTCTCTCTTTTCCTACAACAAAGAGGTGTTTTTGATATTTAAATTATATATTTTTTAATATATTATTGTTATAACATTGTAATTTCTATATAATTATACAATGATTAGTCTTAAATTTTAAGTTAATATTTCACAAAATTTGTATTAGTATTTAGTGCAGGTTTTAGTATTACTTATTCCATATAACCAAAAATATAAAGTGTTGTAATATTTTTTTTTTTGGGTAAGTAAACTTTTCATAGAAAGTGTTGTAATATTATTGTCAGGTTGGTTTGAGATTTCTTCTAAAGGTGAACACTATTTAACTGTCAGTAGAATGTATTTTCATTTTTAGATTCAGAGTTTAATATTTTGGGGATAGAGTTTGAGAAAATGGCGAAAGAAATTTCATTTTGTAAATATCATTTGTATAGGCAACTCGATAGATCTACATCTTATTTTTCACATAAAAGAAGAAAGAGATTAATACAAATAAGGGATTTGCTTGTGGAAAAGAAAAAAACCAAACAGTCATCCAAATTTTCACTATTTTAAGATACTATATCAAATATATTTTCATAATTTTTGAATATTGTATCAAAACCTATTTTTAGATTTTAAAAATGTTATAATTTTTGAATTGTATTCATACTTTTTTTTTTTTTTTTGTTTTTGTATCACAAAATTAATTGCATTGACAATTAAGTATTTAGAATATTTCATCCATGATTATGATAACCATTTCAAATTAAGTCCACTAAGTACACCACAATCAAATAATTGTTTCGTTTCTATATTTCAGTCTAAATCTTAGTATAATATATTCTTAATTTAAAGTTTTTCAAGGTTGAAATAGTAGGCTTAGCCTCATAGATTGCAGTAAGAAAATAACCAATCAAAACATTAACAAATAAGGATCTCAAGCCTGTAGCAAAAGTAAATAATGAAGTTCAAAGATCTCAAGTAATCATACATGTTACGAAAACCGCAACAACTTGCCATATTCAATTGACTTAGTGGAATTGAGTAAGATGTGCACATGATTAGTAACAATCAACCAGAAATTAATGAAAGTCAAAATAATAAAGATTCATAGCAATAAATAAATGAAAGCAAAAGCCAAAAAAAGATAGACTTGGACAGAATCAGGTTGGATGGCCATGTAATTATAGAGAATCAACAAGAAAGATAAGAAAAATAATGCAAGAAAAAGTTTTTAAAGAGGTTCGGCAAGTTAATTCTCAAGCCTATGTTGTCTATTATGTTATTTCTTTGGCTTTTTTTGTTAGAATAGGTGTCCTAGAGTTAATCAATTATTGTAGAATTGACTCTTTGTAATAATGTTCATTAATCAATAAAAGACATTTTATTTTATATCGCGTAAATCATATTGATATGTATTAATATATGTCCTTAGAATGGTAGAACCGTGATGAGGGTATTAAGTTTTTGAAATCTTGATAGTGAAAACCATATGATCACATATGATAGTCATTCTAGAAATGTTTGTAGCCCCAATATTATTCTAACCAAGGACACAGATAATATGGTAAGACTATCATAGTGTTGAACGACTATGTCGAAAGGCAGTAACTGATCTCACTTGTTAAGGTTGTTTGCCGACAAGCTAGTGCAACACATGGGTGCTTGCTGTAGGCAAGTTCACTGGACTGACCCACCAAAGAATTCCATATAGATGGTAACCCCAGTATCTATGGAATAAATCCTCTAACGAATGGTGGTGCATGTGATCCTTAGACTTGAGATCACTCGAGAGCCGTGTGCACCGATTGGTGTAGTTTGATACTAGCCCAACGTAGTTTTATTCAAAGCTATCAATACGGTGATGATTGGCTACATCGAGGAGTGTATCAAGACTATGATAGATTGACAAAGGATTCATCACTCCCGGGTACGGGAGAAGTTATCTCATTGCGCAATTCAGTCAATGGCAATGACGCTAAATCTTTGGCCACAATAGGATTGAGTTGTTGCTCAATCCAATTTATTATTACGGTTATTGGTCCAGTAACTAAATACAAATACATTGAGAGTAACTGAGGTTGACACTATTTATGTACCTCAATTTCGATGAGATAATAGATGATGAAATGATTTGATTGCACGGTAACTATATCGTTGATAGGTAGCTATTTCGCTGAATTTGAATCTATCGGGTGGCCATGATGCCTTCCTGTGGGCCAATCTTGGTCTTTGTGTAGTAAGACGATTAATTAGTGTTAATCGTGATACTACTCACTTCGATATGATGAGGAGCCTACGAGTAGAGATGGGCATTTGGGACTAGGCCCAAAACCCGGTCCTAGAACTGATCCTTAAGAGGACCGATTTTTGGGACTAGGCCTAAGGAGGAGGGCCCGGGCCCTCCACTGGGCCCTCCTCCGGTCCCAGCCCCGGGCCCAAATTTTTTTGATTTTTTCAATACAATCCCAATCAAATTACCTAAAACCCCATGTCATTTTTAAATAAACATAAAATACGAGGGCTAAAATAAAATTTGACAAAATTTATTAAAAAAAAAAAAAATTTAAAATAACCGTATAACCGTTGGCTGGCAACGGTCACAGCCAACGGTTATAAGTTTAATATAAATTAAAACTTTTTTTTTTATTCCCCCCCCCCCCCCCCCCCCCCCCACACACACACACACCACACACACACAAACACACACACAACACCACTATAAATAACCCTAAAATCTTTCATTTTTTCTACAGATCAATCTCTCAGTCTCTCATTCTCTCAATCTCTCCACTCAAATCTCCAATCAATTTCTCATTTTAATTATTTCTCATTCAATTTATATTTATATTTATAATTTATTCATATAATTTATTCAATTATTCATATTATTCAATTTTTTTCTATTTTTCAATATCATCATAATTTCATATTATTATTTAATTTATTTTCATTTTAATTATTTATTATTTTATCATAAATTTATAATGGCTTCCCCAAATCAATTTTACGTTCCATCCAACGAAGAAATGGAAGGCTTTAATCCATTTTCATCATTTCCTCCAGAGGAAGCAGCTGCAATTCCACAACCACATTCGGTCAGGACGAGGTGTAGCCAAACACATGCGAGCTGCGAGTCAACGGGCACGGGTATAGCCCCACCCCCCCCCACCCCCCGACCGTCAAAGAGGGTCGTGTCCGATGTATGGCGATACTTCACCAAATCAAAATGGCCAAAGACAAATGGAAAGGGGGAAGAATCGTGTGGGATATGTAATTTTTGTGGAACCATTATTGGCGCTGAGAAGGGGACTTCGACAATGCGACGACACGTGGAGAAGAAGCACCCCCAAATAATACAGTTGCTCGATGCATCTTCAAGTGGATCAGATAGACAAATTCAATCTCAACTTAATTTTAATCCACAATCCTCAACTCTCTCAACATGGCAATATAATGCACATGTTGCACGAGAGGAAATAGCAAGATATATAGTTGCTACGGACTCTCCCATTTGTTTATCTGAAAATCCTTTTTTTATTCATATAGTTAAAACTGCATTTTGTCCAGAATATACCACTGTTAGTAAAAGTACAAGTAGAAGAGATATACTAAAACTTTATAACAAAATAAATAATAAACTTAAAAATGAATTTCAAAATTTTAGGAATATATATATTGCACTTACATCAGACATATGGGCTTGTAGATCAAAAACTGATTTTTTAACTATCACAGTACATTTCTTAGATCATAATTGGG